CTGCTGCAAGGGTCATGGGCCTGCAGCAGGCCTCATTGGTGAAACTGTCCTCAAGGATGCACACTCCTGGGACCTAAAGACAAGCAAGTGGCCCCAGCCAGCCAGTTTTCTGGGTGGGCAGCGCCCCCTCCTGGCTGACACTTGTGCTGCAGGACAGCAGTGACTACCAGCGGTGCTCTGGGTCTGGGCTGGCACGGTGGCAGCCAAGAGTGGGCTTGGGCTTTTGCCAAAGCAAGACTCCTCCTGGAAACCCAGATTTCCAGCTTCTCTTGAAAATCCCTGAGACCTGGCGACACTGGGCCAGCATCCCTCGGTGCCCACAGCATAGGGCATGGAGGCACCCCCTCCGGTGGGACCTGCCCACCCGCTCCCTGGACATCTGCTTCCCATAGGGCATGGGGACTCCAAAGCAGCCACCCTCTGGGGGCACTAAACTGTCTCCTCCCTCACCATGAGGGGCCTGAAGACACCCAGCCCTGACCGCCAGGCACCAGCCACAGGAATCCCTCAGAACCACTCAAGGCGGCCAGCGTCCCTTCTGAAGGAGATGAGGCCAGAGTACCACCTACCCCTGAGGGCAGCTGTGTAGAGGTGGCTGCCAGGACCCAGGGCCTTCCCCACCTCCCCAGCGTATGGCCCCCAGTCCTTGGCTTTGCCTAGCTAGGTGCCCACAGTGACTGTCCCCGAGTTGGTCAAGTGGCTGTGTCAGCCAAGGTCACTGTGTGGGGAGGAGCCTTACTCCAACTCGCTTTGTGTGTCCGGGGCAAGCTGGGCCGATGCTCGGGAGCCAACACTAAGGTGCTGGCCACGCCCAAGTCCACAAGGCAGCAGGCTGGGAGGGGCCACCTTTAATAGTGGGGTCCACCTGTTGGAGGGGAAGGAAGAGCCCCCCCCATTTGTTCTTAGTGGGCCTTTGCTTGCTGCTCAGACAGCAGTGAGATCCCAGCGAGACTGTCCCGTAACAGAACCAAACCATGCAGGAGGTAAGTCACGTCCATGCTCTGCAGCCTTTTCTCGGTGCTGGTAGCTCAGAAGCTGGCAGGTCAAGCACCCCAGGTCTCTGCAGGTTCAGGAACCCAGGCTGCAGGGTCCCCCATGGGCAAACAGAGGGCTGGACCTGCTGGAGCAGGGTCTCACCACCACCCTCAAGATGTCCTTCCTCACAGGGCTGAACCACTGTGCACAGACCCACGAAAGTGACAAGGGGTAAGCCAGGGCCCCTGGAGCCATCAGTCCAGCAGGGACGGTCCGCTGGCCCCCCACCCCCAAACAGGAGAGGCTTGCGTCTGGAGCCCTGAGGCAGAGTCACCGAGAGGTTCAGCAAACACCATTTCCTGGGGATCCCACCCCCAACCTACATGGAAACCGAGGCATGTCAGGAAGCCAGGTGAAGGTAGGGACCCCTTAACTGAAGCCCCCCGGCAGCTGACAGGAGCAAGGAAGTGCAGAAGAGGTGCAGGGACCCGCGGCCTGCTGGCACCTTCCCTGCAGAAAAGCGCGAGCCACATGGGGCTGGGGACGGCATGGACAGCACCAGGAATGTCAGGCCTGGGCCGCAGCCACCATGGGAACCACAGCCATCAGAGGCTGTGCGCGGCCGAGGGTTTGAACGTTGTCATTTAATCCAGAAACGAGAGCAAGACAGCAGCGCCAAGTGCGCTCAGACTTTAGCCTGCACGAGGAAGTGCTGTAGAGTCATCCATCCGACGCCAGCACCAGCCGCACGGCCTCCTGGGAGCCAGTCGAACTGGCCGTGCACCCAAACCGTCTGTGGGCCACAGTCCTTGGGCATCCCTGGGAGTCCTACTAGAGGAGGCTGAGTTATGAAGCTGCCACCAGGTCTGCCTGCCTGGGCTTGGCCTTGACGGGGACTTTCTCTGCAGAGGAAACAAAAACCCCATCTGTGATATACAGAAGACCCCACAGGCAGCAAGGGCCTGGGTATCCGGGCTTGCTCGTGCCCAGCTCTGAGGGGGCGACAAGCAGGGATGGAGAAGTGGGACATGGGTCAGGAAGTGCAGCCCCTCCCCAGGGGCCCCCGCAGGAGGCAAGCTCCCAGGAGCCATAAAGAAACAGAAAGACACACAGATGACACGTTAGAGAGGCTGCCGCAGAGATAACGCAGGGAACAGCTGTCCGCGGCTGTGATGTTTCAGACAACGAATCCTGGCCCAGCCCTGGGAAAGAGCTAGCACGGCTAACGAGTCCTTTCCCACTTCTAACATCCACGTGAGCCTCTTCAAATGGGGTCCGGCCCTCTTAGGACATTACCCAAACCCCTTGTAAACCCAGGCCCAGCCCCGAGGCCAGGCATGTCCACTGCACTGGGGAAGGTGAAGCCACCCGTGCCACGCAGGAAGGGCAAGACCCTGTAGCCAGGAGCATTTAGTTCTGTTCCCTTCTAGAATTCAGTGGATTCCAACATGCTCAAGAGGATGGAAAGCGGAGGTACCTGGGTTCTTCTCAGGAAGAGGCTCTGAAGGAACCTCTGGGAGCTCCATCTGTTCCTGCAAGAACCAAAGGACAGGCCATGAGTGGCGGCCAGGCCCGCCCACAACTGTTGGGTCTTTGTCTCCAGTGGACACGGGTCCTGGTTAATCAGCTGCTCTCAGATGGATTCAAAGTGGAACGAGAATCCTCCTGCTCAAAAGACCTCAGTCCACATCTCCCAGAATCAGGCATCTTCTGAGACTCTAATCCCTGGGTGTGACGCAGCCATTGCAGTGGTGGCTTCTCCCATTGGTCCCTGGGATCCTGAGGGGCCACACCTATGGCCGGCTCCTGGGCTTTCCCTGGAGACCCCGGCTTACAAGGTAGGGCCATGCCAGGACCATGGGTTTGAATCAGGCACCCAGGTCACTCTGGTACCCTGGTACAGGTCTGGGGAGCCACGGTGGCACCTCTGCTGGGCTCCCCCCGCCCGAGTGACTGTGCTCAGTCCTGGGGTCTCTCACCTGAGTGATGGCATCCAGCTCCTCCAGGATGGCTTCTTCGTCCTCCTGAGTGAAGCTTCCTGCCAACAGCTCATCTATTTGCTGCAAGTGAGGACAGGCAATGAGGAACAGGGCCGGGCTGGGGGTGGGGGAGGTGGTCCTCATGGAACAAGGGGACGGCCCGTGGCTCAAGGCCTCCCCTACTAGAGAAGGCAGCCCCCACGTGGCACAGGACAGTGGCCGGTTGCACATCCCCCCGCAGCCCCACATAGCGACACCTACCCGCTGGTACTCCACGGCCTCCTGGGTCTCGTCCAGGATCCGCTCCACTTCTTCTATGGACATCACCTAAGAGGCGGTTATGAGAGCTGAAGCCTGGCAGTGGGGCAGGTGACAGAGCCCTGTTGAGGCCACCTGGGTTCTCAGGGCCAAGACCTCGCTCCCTGTCCCTGTGTAAAAGAAGCCAGGCCAAGGGCACGTGACATATCCCTGGTCATTCAGCCCCAGGCAGGGCCCTGCCCCGGCTGCGGGAGCCCTCAGATCTGTCTTCAAAGACTTGACTGCGCTGCTCGGACCCCCTCGCATCCCAGTCAGCTCTGGCGGTTACAGGTAAAAATAGACACAACATGGAAAACATTCTCTGGGCAGGCGCCTTGATCTCCTCTGAGGGCGCATGTAGAGCGGCAGCTGCCTGACCGACAGGCGCACAGCCCAGACCCGGTCCAGACACTCAGGAAAACACACGGCCAGGTCTCCGGCCAGGCAAGCCCTCGGCTCTGAGAGCCCCTCTAGCTGGGCCACTCATCAGGAGCATGAGGGGGAAGGGGCTGTGCCCGGTCACACTGGGCTCATCTCCTGTTAGCACACGCACCAGTGCTGCTTCCTGAGACACACTCAGTACTCACCTCCTCCAGGAAGCCTTCCACGACTGGTTTAGCACACCACTCCCCCACCCCCGCCACACTGTCCCCTCTCTGTCATGTCAGCACCTGTGGACCCAGTTCCCAGTCTGGGCTGCACCACACCACTCTCAGGTCATGTCATCTCTGAGTTGCTCGCCTGGCAGCAACTGGCACGTCACCCCAGCCCAGACTCATGCCCTGGGTCTGGCACAGACACCTCCTGCCACAGCCTGGGTACAGACATGGCCTCAGGGCACTGCATGGGACAACGACCCTCTGGCTCCCCTGGGCCCCCTCTGTTCTGCCCCGGTTGGCCAGGACCCACCTGGTGCATCTTATTCAGACACTCGTTCCCAAGCCGCAGCCCCTCCATCACCTTCATCTCCACCTGGGTGAACTCAATGCTCTGCACCTGAGAAAGAAGCCAGACCAGACCTGAGCCTCAGGAGCCCCGCCTGCCCTCCTCCTGACCAAGGGGCCTCGGGACAACTCCCGTGCCGCCCTCCTCCCTGTCCTCTCCCGCTGCCCCCTGGCGATGGAGCAGGACTGAGAAGGTACTGGAAGGCACTCAAAGGCTCACCGAGCACTTATCAGCAGCTCTGGTTAGTGAAAGAGCCCAGCCTCAATGCTCTGAGCCCTAACACCAGGGATGCTCATGCCGACCCTCGACACCTCCTCAGTCACCTGGGCAGACCCCTGACCTACCCACACCACCCAGCCCTCCAGACCACTCTGGCAAGAGCCAACCTGCCCCGGCCCCTTGAGACCGTCAGGTTCCTGCAAAGATGCTAATCCAACTCCAGGCCTGACCTGCTGTGTTTACAAAGTCAGCTTTAGCCTGAGGCATCCCAGAAAGAAGACAGACATGACTTCAGCTCTCTGTGGAGATCTCTGCGGCCAAGGGCTGCCCCCGCACCCCCAGGCCTACCATTGTCTCCAGGCTGCTGATCTGGCTCTCCGTCTTGTCCAGGAGTTGCTCCCGGTATCGCTTCTTCTTGAGCAGCAGCTTGGCCCGCCTGCAGAGAGAAGCCGAGGCAGTGACCAGCGGTGGCCCTCCCAGCGCTGACTGGCCGCCTGGTCCCCCGGTCCACTACCCTGGCCCCACTCACTCCTTCCTGCCGTCGCGCAGCAGCTGCCGGGCCATGGCCCGCTCCCGCTCCAGCTGCTGGGTGACCCTCTTCTGGTACTGCTTCAGCCTGTCCCGCTGCTGCTTCAGTTGCTGCCGAGAGAGCGGGCCTTGCATCAGCAGCCAGCCGCCACCAGGCTGTGCCGGCCAAAGGGACACTGGAGGGACCCCTCACAGACCAGGCAACCTTCTAAAACAATGTCCTCAGGGGGCTAGGCTGTCCCCCAGGGGACGTTTGACAATATCTGCAAACACTTCAGGCACCTGGTGGGTGGAAGTCAGGGATGCCACTCAACATCCCCCTCCACAGGGTCACCTGGCCCCAAATGTCACACCCCAGTCACTCACAGCGGCACGAGGACATGGGAGGGCCACACGGCACAGCCTCTATGGGAGCCTAAGTGCTCCAGGGTGGAGCAGACATGGTGGCCAGCTCCCGGCGCCACCACCCACCCAGCCAGGGTCAGGCCCAGGACATCGGGCCCAGGCTTCTCTCCGCCGTGGGCTGCTGCCGCTTCCGTCCTCTGCACCCAACATCCATCTGGATGGACGGTGGGCCGCGCTTGCGTGGCCTCACTCACCGCCTCCCCGCAGCTGAGGCTGCCCTGGAAAGGACGCGCGGGCATGTCCCAGCTCTAGTCAGCCCTTCCCGATAAGCCTGCCTTTTTCCAGAGATCATCTCAGAAGGCGCTAGGAGGCACAGGCGCCTGCATGCTGAGGCTTACATCCCGAGGGCAGGTCACTGTGAGCGAACTGTCAGCGCATGCCTGCTTCAAGTGTGCCTGGCGAAAGAGGATGCCCAGCGCAGCGCGCTTTCCACGTCTGCCCAGTGTGCCATGCCGGGACACCTACATGTCCTCTCCTCGCCACAACAAAAGGTCCCCACTAACCCAGCCCCACACCTTGGGAGACCCTGTGGCCAGGTGTAGGGAAAGCAGAGGAAAATGGTCAGGGCCCCTCAAGCATTCAGAATCTTGCTGAGCATTTGATGTAAATATGAACGTGTGCCCAGGAGCTCCTTGGTTGTCTAATGTAGTTGCACATGTGCACCCAGGTGTCCCGGGTTATGGACTTAAGTATAAAGGACGAATGACTCTGATCCACAGTGCCCAGCCCCCCTCCCCGCTCCCAGATGTTCCTGGGGTGGCCATGGGGAGGCCGCTACCGCTGCTGGAGGCTATTGCTGCTAGTGCCCCTAGGATGCCCCAAGAGGCCACCGCCGGTGCTGTTTCTGCTGCTGCTACTGCTGAGAGCTGAGCTTTTGTCATCTACCAATGGCTCCTGGGATCTTTCCCAATTACCTAGCATGGACCTGAGTGTGAGGGGCTTATGACCCAGCCTGGAGTGTGAGGGGTCTGTGACCCAGTCTATACAACTGGTTTGAAGGGTCTGTGGGCCCTAACCCTTAACCCTGACAATAAAAATGGAAAACTTAGCATAACTAAAATAACGAAACATTCTGGCTTTAGTTATGAATGAGCCTTAACCACACAATTGGTGTAGTCTGTAGCAATACACCAGTCCATGTGCCTGGTCCTCCCCAGCTGTACTGGCAAGAGCTTCCAGGGCCACTGCCCATGCCAGCTTTCCACAAAACATTAGGAGTGTGGCCTCAGGAAGAGATTAGAAAGGAGCCGAAGGGAGGCAGGTGTGGCCAGGCTGTCCCCTTTGTAAAACAAGAGGTCTCAGCACCGGGTCAGAGAGCACTGGGGCTGGCAGTCTCTTAGCAAAACGCAGAGTGATGCTCTGTTCTGTGCGTGAATTACGTTGTTTCCCCGCGCCCGGAACTCCTCCTAGAGGTGAGGCCGACTGAACCAACACAGGTGTGCGGGGTCTGCACACCCCCCGCAGCGAGTCCTTGGCAAACAGAAAACTACTTGGAGAGAGACCGGAGACAGGGAGACTCGCCTCGGGGGCTTCCGGTTTCACAGGCCAAAGCAAGAAACCACCTTCCATTGGTGTTTGTTTCTCTTTTAGTGCAAAAATAACCTACTTTTGCTGCAGAAGATTTAGGAGAGAAGGCATCAGAACAGGCAGGCCCTGGAGTGTCACGCTCCGGAGTACCCTTCCTGACCCCTCTCACGACAAAGCGGGCTATTCCCCGCTGCCATCCGTCCAGCACACCGCGCGAGTCCCCAGAGGAGCCGACCTCTGCAGCAGCCCCGGGAGAGCCCGCCTC